CTTGGTGATTCCCTTGGCCTGGCCCCTCCTAACAGCGTCACAATCGGCAGCCCTGAGCTGGAGTAGATCTTTGAGCCTTCTCAGCACGTAGTGGGTCTCAGGGAGCCCAAACTTCGGCGAGGTAGCAGACCTGAGCAATTGGACTTCACAGTGGGTTTTGGGGAGTGTGCCTGTGTGAAGGTGCAAGAACCTTTCCCAAGAGAGTGAGCATGTTCCCTGGGCAAGCTCTGAAGGCACTGCCCTTTCCCCTCCCACCTCCCTTACCCAGGAAGCCCTCTCTGGCTTCGGAGAGGCAGCCGGCACGGCCTTCGTCAGCCTGGTGGTATCGGGCCGGGTGGTGGCAGCAACAGAAAGCTGGTGGCGGCTGGGGACGCCGGAGGCCGTGCTGCTCCCCTGGCTGGTGGGGTCCCTGCCGCCTCAGGCCGCTCGTGACTACCCGGTGTACCTGCCCCACGGGAGCCCCACGGTGAGTTGGGGCTAGCAGCAGAGGGTCCCGGGCGAGGGGCGGGGCTGGTGGGCGGGGCCTGTCGGGGGCGTGGCTCCAGCCTGGGTCTGGGCGGCTGCAGGTACCACACCGGCTGCTCACCCTGACACTGCTGCCAGGCCTGGAGCTGTGTCTGCTGTGTGGACCGCGCCCTCCCCTCAGCCAGCTGGACCCACAGGTGAGTCCGGGCGGTATTGCATGTCCTTGTCACACCGCCAACCTGAGCCCGCCCTCAGCCAGTCCTGCGCCTCCTGCCCGGAGGCCCCGTCCTCTGGGGCTCACCGCCCCCCCTCGTGGGCCGCCCCTGCAGCTTCTGGACCGCTGCTGGCAGCCCCTGCTGGACCCGCTGCGCGCCTGCCTGCCCCTGGGACCCCGAGCGCTGCCCGCAGGCTTCCCCCTCCACGAGGACATCCTCGGGTAGGCTCCGAGGGGGCAGTGGCTGGGGCGCCCCATTCCCTTCCCAGACCACAACATCCCCTTCCCCTCCGCACAGGCTGCTGCTGCTGCACTTGGAGCTGAAGCGCTGCCTCTTCACTGTGGAGCCCGCGCGGGACAGAGGTGACTGGGGGGGGGGTGCGGCAGCCGGGAGGCGCCAGGCTGGGACAGGCTCTGCCACCAGCTCCCCTTCTTCCAGAGCCTTCCCCCCAGCAGCGGCGGCGTCTCCTCCGCTCCTTCTACACCCTGGTCACCGCCACGCACTTTCCACCAGGTTAGTGGGGGGCAGTGGCCCCGCCCCGCTGCAAGTCCCCAACATGCACTGGCCACGACTCTCCCTGAGGACTGAGAGTGGATAACGGGAAGGGGGGGGCAGGGAGAGAGCCTGGCGGAGTCAAAAGCTCCAGTCACCCTGACCCTCACACCGACACCTCACCTTGGCCGGTGGTGTGTGAAGGCTACCTCCGCTGACCCTCATTCCCATACCACAGGTGGGGAAACTGAGGCTCAGCTAACAGGCATCACTGCCACGATCCCACCCCTGCAGCCATCTTGCTGCGGGGTTCCACAGACAGTGTTAGGAAGGAAAGGCAGTAAGGGGTCACAGGACCCCCGCCTCAGGCAGAGCTAGTCTGTGGAGACCCTGAGAGCCACAGAGCTCCACAGGGAGGGCCGGAGGACCGTCCCCAGCTGTGCTCGTGCCCTGGGGGGCTCGGGGCGGCCAAGCCGGGAACCTGCAGCGAGCAGCACGTGCGTGCCAGTCTCCACTGCTGTGGGTGCGGCCCGGGGCTGCACCCACACCCCCAGGAACCAGGGAGCCAAGCAGAGGGCTCAGGGCTGCCTCAGGCCACGTGTGGCAGGAGCGTGAGCGTGTCCTGAGCCAGGAAGGGAGGCCCACGGTGGGGTGTGGCGTGCAGGGTCACACCAGCTCCCGTTCTTCTTCCAGAGCCAGGGCCACCAGAGGAGAAGGCGGAGGACGCTGCCTGCCAGCCTCACGTGCCCCGAGCCTGCTACCTGGCGTCAGGGACAGAGGAACCAGGCCGGGGGTGGCGGCTGGTGGCGCTGCAGCTGGGGCCGCGGCGGCTGCTGCTGCTGCTGTCTGCGCAGAGCCCCATCCACGGGCTTCGGGGCCTGGCCACCCGCACGCTGCACGCCCTCACGCCTCTCCTCTGACACGCGGCGGACACGGCCTTAGCGTCTCTGTTTATTCGCTCACAATAATACAAGACCCCTGGACGGGGAGGAGGCGGAGGGGCTACGACGAGGGGTCGGGTTGGGGGGGTGGAAGGGAGGAGGCACCTACTGCCCTGGTTCCTCTCCCCTCTGTGCTTGGGGGGGGGGAAGGGACGGAGGGGGCTCCTCCTGACCCCCCAGAATGTAAACAGCAGCAGATGAACAAAAATAAAAATACAAAAGGCCGGAGGAAGGTCCCAGGCACCCCCCCACCCCTGGGTCTTCCCTGTCACCAGTGGAGGTCCCCTCGCTGCCCCATCCAAAGCCGCCCCAGTCCTAGGGGCAGCCCAGTGCCAGCCACCCCTGGGCAGGGCAGAGTCCAGGGCTCAGAACTGCTGGGCCAGCAGCTCACACAGGTGGCGGGAGACAGGCTCCTTGCTGGTGCGCAGGGTCAGCCTGTACATCTGAGGAGACAAGGGCAAGGAGTCCAGAGGGGGCGGGCAGGAGACCCAAGGGAGGGGGGCGGGGCAGGGCAGGACCCCAGAGGGGAGGGGAGCCGCTGGAGGGGGAGGGAGCCACAGGAGGGCCCAGGGCCTCTCGGGCCACTCACCTGAGCCTGGGCATTGGGCTCCAGCCGGAGCAGACAGCCCACCTGCAGGGCTTTAGTCTGGATGATTCCAGCCCCCACGAAGTTCTCAGGGTTGGGGTCCACATTGTCCAGAAGAGCGGAGCCAAATCCCAGCAGCTAGGGGTGGGGGTGGCGGTCAAATGGGCCAGCCCCAGACCCGGAATGAAAACCCTTGCCAGGGAGAAAGCCCCGCGTTCCAGAGACAGAGACAGCAGAGGCTGGAGGCCAAGCAGCCAGTCAGTGCTCCCCAAGACCTAGAGGGGCAGGCCTGGGGTCCAGCTAGGGACAGCTGTCCAGCCTGGGCCCCTTTCCTCACCTTGGCCTTGGTGACTTCTGAGTCCATGGGGTGGTTGGCTTTGAAGATTTTCTGCGCCTCCTGTTGGGGGCTGAAGGGGCGAGCTGTGTCAGGGACCCGAGGCGCCAGCCCCGCGCACCCGGACTGAGGCCTCACCCTACCCGCCGCGGCTCACAGGCTCAGCTGCTTCCAGCGCTGGAAGAAGTCCTGGGCCGCCATCTCGGTGGGCTGGAAGAACTTGTTGATGGTCACCGGGAGCTTCAGGGTGATGGCCTGGGGGGCGCCCCCATACCTGGGGGGACAGAGGTTCTCAGGCCCTGCCCATGCAGAACCCGCCCACGCGGCCCGTGGGACTCACCGGAAGCGCACGGACAGCAGCGGGGGCGTCAGGAAGTCCCGCAGACACTCGATGTTGAGCACCTGCTGCACCTGCGCGCCGCCGTCCACCTGCGCGGCCACGCGCTTGGTCTGCACGGCCAGCTGTGCCCGCGTCAAGGAAGCAGAGGACTGGGGCGGGCGCACAGGGGGCCGGTCTCGCCGCGGAGCCCTGGTGGTTCGGACGGGCCGGCCCCCCACCCTGTCCCACCCCACAAGGCCAGCTGCAAAGTCCGGGGACTAAACTGCCGGGCCTTGGGCGCCCCCCACAGGGCGCCCTCTGCGCTGCACCCAGAAGAGCGCGAGCAGGCTGAAGAGTGGGGACCCCTCAGCCCTCAGCACAGGCCACCGGGCAAGCTAGGCCCAGCCTCACCTGCAGAAGGGGCATTACCGGGGCAGCCACATCAAGGTCCCC